TCAGGAGCTGCTGCACACAAATTCTCAGAGCTGCTGCACACCCCGATCTCTACTAATCTTTCCATAACTATATTTCTATTAAAGCTGGGAAAATATTTGTTGGCCAAATTGTAATGAAGTTCATGGCGTGCCAGAATGTTGTAAGACTCAGTGCTGATTTAGTTCTGGTAAGCCAAACGAGATCTGTTTTGAGTTATTCAGGTGATTAGTTCAAATCATGCTCTCACTTTTGAACTAAGTGAGCTATGGTGAGTAAAATCAATGAAGTAATTGATGAACAAATAAGTAATTCCATTTGTTTGGGGGAATGAGCACATCCATTGAACTCTGCTAAACCTTGTGACTTACGGTTTTCGTCAAAAATGGAACTTCTGAAGGTAGCAGTTGTAGAAGACGAGGACCAGTTCCTTAGGTTGATACCGAATTTTCTTTAGTTAGATCTGTGTGAGCCTTCAAGAGATCTTTTGGTGAAATTGAAGTTATGTTGCTTTTCTCTATATCAAATAACTAACATCCAGAAATTGAATGAAGATAGAACTTGGTAGTCGAATACACATTTATATAATTCTTTCTGAAAAAGAGATTTAATCTAATTTGACTATAATTTTCTAAGCGTTATTTTCATTTTTAATTACTACACCTATTTTTATAAATTAATAAAAGCTGGAAAATATTTTTACTTATCATGCTGTTAACATTTTTATGTGACAATTGACTTTCATATATTTTCTGCCTTGAACATTTAATCTGATCCAAGGGTTCTAACATCATGGGGGCTTTTGTGTTAATATGCGAATATTAAGATGATAACCAATGTTTTCATCTCCAGTGAAATTTCAAAAAGGCAAAATGATGAGGCTGAATTTTCGAAGAAATCAACTATATGGAGTAGCTTCAAGTCATTTGCAGATGGACTTGTTGGGTTCTGGAGAAGACTGTAAATATCTGGTATGCTTGGTGACAGAATTTAATATTTAAAAAACTGCAATACTACTTTGAGTTAATGTGAGATATCAAGCTTTCTTACGTTGCTATTCTATATTTTATGGTAATATGTTATCCAGTATGGATTAAACTTTTCCTTTTCCAATATTCCTGCTATAGGGAGTATGGATTCTCTAATGCTTTTTGGCCATTTGGTTGACATGGCCGTAGTCAATAGTTCAATCTTTTTGATGGATTGAACTTGGAACTTTGGGATACTAAACTTTTCTGTGGAAATGACTAGGATTTGGTTGAAGTAGAGATTTATGTACTTGGGCATCCAAACTGCTGTTTTTAATGATGGAAATCCTTCATAAAATTTTGTTACAAAGACACGGATGCACCTATCTAGCAAAATTGAGTTGATGTAAAGATAGACCACCTACAATTCCATTGCAAGGCTAAATTTTTCTTTTGTTGGGAAGATTGTGGGGGAGGAGACGAACATCAACTGAGCATCTTGAGAGAAGACACTGAGCGAGGAATTATACAAAGAATTGAAGAATGGCAAAGGCCCACTGGCGAGGCCGATGTTACGATATTGGTGGATTTGTAGGGAAAGGGCTAAAGGGGCGATGCTTGTACTGTTTTAACTAATCAAACAGGTAGCCTTTAGAAGGTTTATAATATAGAATTGCAGTTGAGGGGAAAGCTGTCTAGCTTTTAAAGTTTTATCTTGAGAAGTGCTTGCAAGGTAGAATGTCAAAGCTGTTTTTGGTTAATGATTAAGGGTTCATATCTTTTTGGCTCCTTGTGCTATGAATTTTCTAAATGCCTATTTGATTAGACATTGTGTCTACTGCTTAAAACTAAATAAACAGAAGTGAAATTAGAAGTATAGCTTTTGATGTAAGGTAGATGATTATGAGATATAGTTTGTGTTATAGGAGTTAATATATAAGTTAAATAACTGTTATAAATAAACTATAAACTGATAAGGCTATTAGAAGCTAATTTCTTGCTAAAAATTTAATTTTTTATACTTTTAAATAAATTAAAACGTAAAGTGAGTGTAAAATATTGACTTTTAATTAATAGTAACCTTTATTTTGATTTGAACTTAAAAACAAATTTGACTTAACTTCATTGTAACTCCACAGATTGTTTTAAAACCAATTCAAAATAACAACTCCCAGAAATAATATATAAATATATATTTATATGCATATATTTTATATGTATATATATATATATATACAGAGTATAAAACACATTTGCGAGATTAAAATGATGATTTGTTTGAAAATTTCCCCAATATTTTTTAGTAAAATGAAAACGCCATATTGCATTAGAGTGTACAACTGCATGTGTGTGTATATATCTCACAATCCAATTTATTTATTAATCAACAAATGACATAAATGAACGGATACGAGCTTATGTTTTGGTAGGACCAAAATTTTATTTCAAAAAGGTCATTCGATTTGTTTGCACTTCATATTACGACGTATAAATTTTACCTGATGTGTAAAGCTAAAAAAAAAAAAAACATTTCAATTTTCAGTTTAAAACATTTTAACATATAATATATATATATATATAGATATGTATGTATGTAAATAGATTTCATACACCTTGTATTTCCTCATTCCTTTTATTTCTTAAAATTTCATACATACCTTTGTATCATTTGGGAACTTTGTACTTCTGATTTTGACAAATAAAATTAATGATTATTCAAAAGTATTACTTTTTTGAATCATACATAAAATATATTTGATATATTTACCTAAACAAAAAAAAAAAAAAGCAGACAACTTGAAGTTGATATGCGAGTGTTTTTTTTTTCTTCATTTATTTTATTTATAATCATATTCTAATATTGTTTTATTTTTCTTTCAATAATAATTATGTTTTGTTAAGTTATACACGGTACTTCATAGTATAATTACATACACAAAATCATAATATTAATTGCTTGATAATGTGTTAAAAGAAACAAATTACCATAAATATGCATTTAATATCTACAAAGAGTTCAGTGTTTCCATTCTCATTAACAATTTAAATGGTTATTAATTTTTTAATTAGTAAACATAAATCAAATTAAATTTATATATGTATTAAACATAATTAATATTCTCGTGTTATATATTCGAATGTACAGCCATTATTCAATTGTCTGCGTATGACAACCGCAATGAAGCCGCCAACAAGTAGACGTCACATTTATCCAACGTTTGACCAAAATACCCTAAATTTATTTTTTATTTTAATAATTACGACTTCATGAATAAATTATTATTTTTTTATTTATAATATTTATATTGGTGTCTAAATATATTAATATATTTATTTTTTTAAAAAAAAATTAGAATTATAATTAATATTAATAATAATAATTTATCCCCAAAAAAAAAAAACATTTAATTTTCTTCATATCTGATCAAAACGAATCGTTTTTGTGTTTCTCTTCTTTCTTCCTTCCTTCCGGCATGTTCTCTGCAACTTCGCCTATTCCTATTCCTGTCTCTGTCTTCTCTCTGTGGTAAAACCCCAATTGTCAAAGTTGTTGTTATCGTTGCTTTCCCTTCAAGTTTCTTGTTTTATTTATTCTGTTAAAATAAATTTATTATTGTTTTTGTTCTACTGTTTAGCGACTTGTCTTGTGGGTTGATAATTCGGACGAATAACAGAAATGAACTTTTTCATTTTTTTTTTTTTTTTTTTTTTTTGACATTCTTTAGATACAGGGATTTGAAAAATATTACCTTCAGAGACTTCAGAATTGTATTCTGCTTTTTGGTTGTGTTTTGTGCCTATAAATGATTCCTCTTTCTTTTTGTAGATTTTTTGTTGTTCTCGAAGCTCTACAATTGTCCTGCGATTCGATTCTCTGTGATTCAAGGATTAAGTTTTTGACTCGTTGAATTTTAAAGGAATTCGGGGTTCCTGAGATATTGCGGTTGCTTGATTCTTTTGAAATTTAGCTATTGTTTTCTGTCATTTCAATACATTGATTTTCAACGATCAGAAGGGTTTTTTTAGGGGTTTATGTTCGATGGAGTTTAGGGCCTGGGGGTGAGAATTGTGAGGGTACTGAAGTTGGTTACATGGTTTTGATGGTTGCTTGATTATTTTACTGGGCGATATACAAGTACAGAGACCTATTTTTTGGGTGTTTTATCTGAGTGGAACTAGAGGTACTTTTGAATTGGGTTTTTTTAGGAAATTAGGGAGTATTAGTATCTTCAAAATTTAGAAGTTGTTGCCTTTACTTAGGTGGTTGTTTAATTTATGACCCAGTTGCAGTGGCTTGGAGGTGGCCAGCCATTCTTGATTTGGGGTTTCTGGGAAATTCTTGATTTGGAAAATTCTCGTCTGTTGGATTTTTGAGTGCTGGCTAGTATAAATTTCGGAGTATTGTCTCCTCGGCAAATTCGTGATTCGGAACTGGTTGATGGTTGTGTACTGGGTCCTGAAATTTTAGAGTTGATATTTCATTGAGAATGGATGACAACCAAGGCAGTTCAAATGCATTGCCTCCTTTCCTTTCAAAGACATACGACATGGTCGATGATCCTTCAACAGATTCAATTGTCTCCTGGAGTCAGGGCAATAAAAGCTTCACTGTATGGAATCCACCTGAGTTTGCTAGAGATTTACTTCCGAGATTCTTTAAGCATAATAACTTTTCTAGCTTCATCAGACAGCTGAATACATATGTAAGCCAATTTGTGCTTCTACGTTACCCTTTTGCATTTTCTCTTCCATGCTAGAAGCCTATAATTTAACAATCACCATATTGCTACAGGGATTTAGAAAAATCGATCCAGAACAGTGGGAATTTGCAAATGATGATTTTGTAAGAGGTCAACCACACCTTTTGAAGAACATTCACAGACGCAAGCCAGTTCACAGCCATTCCTTGCAGAATCTACATGGACAAACAGCATTGTCAGAATCAGAAAGACAGAGTTTAAAGGATGAAATTGAGAAACTAAAAGGGGATAAGGAATTGCTTCTTTTGGAGTTACAAAGGCATGAGCAGGAGCAACAAGGATTTGACTCACAGATGCAGCTCATAAAGGAGCGTCTACAACATATGGAACAGCGTCAGCGAAAGATGGTATCTTTTGTGGCTCAAGTATTGCAGAAACCAGGGCTTTCTTTTATAACACCACAGTTGGAAACTAATGATAGAAAAAGAAGGTTGCCAAGAATTGGTTACTTGTATGGTGAAGTCAGCAGTGAAGACAATCAGATGGGAATAAATGAAACAATAATTAGAGAGAATGTGGATGGTTCATCTGCTGTGTCATCAAGCATGGACCAACTTGGGTCCTCCAAAAAGAAAAGCAAAAACATTGACCAGCTCGAGCAGTTAGAGTCATCCCTTGTATTTTGGGAGAATATAGTACATGATGCTGGAGATGCATTCATCAAACTCAATTCAAATATTGAGGTGGTTGAATCTACAAGTTGTGCTGAAAGCCCAGCTATGTCTTGCATACGACTTAATATTGATACTCGGCCCAAATCTCCAGTGATTGATATGAACACAGAGCCTGCTGCAGTTGTTGCTCCAGAGCCTGTTGCTTCCGAGGAGCAACCTGCTGGGACAACTACTGTCCCCCCAACTGGGGTCAATGATGTGTTCTGGGAACAATTTTTGACTGAAAATCCCGGTTCAACTGATGCACAAGAAGTTCAGTCAGAAAGAAAGGATTCTGATGGGAGAAAGAATGAAAACAAACCTGCTGATCATGGAAAATTTTGGTGGAACATCAAGAATGTAAATAATCTTGCAGAACAAATGGGGCATCTTACTCCTGCAGAGAGAACTTGATATTGGTTGATTGTTTTTTCCGGCTTTCGATACCTCATTACCCCACATGTAATAATTTAGGTATGAAATTGGTCTGATTTTGCAGTCATGTAGATATTTTCCTTTTGATTTAGATGTTTTTGACATACCATGATCTAAATTGCATGCTTGTTCAGGTCTAGTGATTTTTGGTTCATTGCAGCTCATGTGATTTCTGTGCTCTTTTACATATTCTTCTCTCCCAAATGTTATGTAAGCATGTCATTAGTTATAACTTATAGTACCAACAACAGCGTCTAGCCTCACATTTGTTGTTATTTGATGGATCAAAAGTAGGATGCATTAAGTATGGAAATCAGAGCAGTGTGAACATTACCCTTGCCTAATGAACATGCTAACCTGACAGATTCTAATCTCTGGTTCATCCTATTTTTCCAAATAGTTAGAAATAGTCGTTTTCATTTGCATGAGTAGATGCCAATGTATGTTTGTTTCCTGAGATCGAGCTAATGGCAGAGAGAATACATCATTCATCTTCTCCGGGAGCAAACTAGTTTTACGCCACTGCGGCACTAAATATAAGTTTACGCGAAACTATGTTGTACTGTGCATTGACAAGAATGTTAAAAGAGTTTTGTTGTGTAGAGATGCCTCCTTATATTATATATATCAACTGCTGTCAGCGGTAACTCTTTCCATTGAGGCTTTTGTCAGTGACTGCAAGGGTGGGAGGATGGAGCTCAATTTAACTTGAGTTCTTTCTCTAATGGTCATCTTCTTGTGTCATTTCAAGAATATAATATATTTGACTCAAACATAATGTTTGTTCAATTAACGGAATATGCAAATTCTTTCTAAATTAAAATAGGTTTATCTTAAATGAAATAGGATGTAATAATCCAGTTTCAAATTTTATCAAAAAGTAATAGAAGCTTATGAAAGCTTTTGAATTTAATAAAATATGAAAATTTGAAATTAGTTATAAAATGAGTCTTTATCTCGTGGTTCTAACTTAATTAATTAATTACATTCCTAATAATAATTAATGTTGGTAAGTAAACACAATAACTCTAAACTAAAATTACTCATTTTCGAATTTATATTTTAATCCTTAAAAAAATACATAATAATAATAATAATAATAATAAATGGTTCTTTCAGAAGTGAAGAGTTCATCTGAGAGGTGCGAACAGCAATCAATCAAGAGCGCATGCATGTCTCAGCCATCCATTCTATCCTTCACAGAAATGGCGATTTCCCTTTCAGAAATCCACCAGGCCCATGCTCACATGCTCAAGACCGGCCATTTTCACAACACCTTCTCTGCAAACAAGCTCCTTGCTTTTGCTGTCACAACTCCTGATCCCCAAACACTCACTTATGCTCACTCCATTTTCTCTCGCATCAGCTCCCCAAATTCCTACACTTTCAACGCCATTATCAGAGCTTATGCCAATAGCCCCACTCCACAGAAATCTCTCTCTGTCTTTCAACAAATGCTTGATGGTCCTGTTTGTCCTGATAAGTATAGTTTTACCTTTGCTTTAAAGGCCTGCGCTGGGTTTGGTGGGATCGAAGAAGGAAAGCAAATTCATGGTCACGTGTTGAAGATTGGAATAGGGTGTGACCTGTTTGTTGCAAATACTTTGATTCATGTTTATGCACAAAGTGGGTTCACTCAGCTTGCCCGTAATTTACTTGCTCGAATGCCAGAACGGGATACTGTTTCATGGAATGCGTTGTTGAGCGCTTATGTGGAGATGGGTTCAGTTGAGTTGGCACGCCAAGTGTTCGATGAAATGGAAGAAAGGAATGTTGAGTCCTGGAACTTTATGATTTCGGGGTATGCAAGTGCAGGGTTAGTTGAGAAAGCAAGCGAGATTTTTTATGCCATGCCATTGAAAAATGTGGTTTCTTGGAATGCAATGATAACTGGTTATGCACACGCTAGTTGTTTTAGTCAAGTGTTGGAACTCTTTGAACAAATGCAGAGTGAGGGTGTCAAGCCTGATAATTGTACTCTTGTGAATGTATTGTCGGCTTGTGCTCGTGTTGGAGCTCTAAGCCAAGGTGAATGGTTACATGGTTATATCAAGAAGAATGAGATCGGCATTGGTGGTTTCTTAGCTACTGCTCTAATAGACATGTATTCAAAATGTGGGAACATTGACAAAGCTCTTCAAGTATTTAAAACAACACGGGCCAAGGATGTTAGCACTTGGAATTCACTTATCTGTGGTTTAAGCATTCATGGATTCGGAGAAGATGCATTACAGGTCTTCAATGAGATGCTTGCGGAGGACTTTAAACCGAATGAAGTTACTTTTATTAGTATTCTATCTGCCTGCAGTCGTACAGGCTTGTTACATGAAATGCGCAACCTGTTTGACCTTATGGTTCGTGTTTATAGGATTGAACCAACTGTTGAGCACTATGGCTGTATGGTGGATTTACTTGGACGGGTAGGATTGTTACAGGAAGCAGAGGAACTTGTGGAAACTATATCAATTGATGAGGCTTCAGTGGTTTTGGAGTCTCTTTTGGGTGCCTGCAGAAACCATGGTAATTTGGAAGTGGCAGAGAGGGTTTCTAGGAGGCTGTTAGAGTTGAATCCTCAAGAGAGTGCTGGTTATGTTCAAATGTCGAACATTTACACGTCTGTTGGAAGATGGAATGATGCTATGGAGGTCAGGAGAAGGATGAGAGCAGAGAGAGTAAATAAGAAACCTGGCTGTAGCATTATTGAAGTGAATGGCACTATCCATGAATTCTTAGCTGGTGAAGGCATCATCTTCGAGCAAATTTGACTGCAAGTATATATGAGGTAATATTCTTCTTCAAATATCACTAATTAATTCTTGAGCTCTAGGATGTTAGATTAGGTCCAAGGAACGTTTTTGTACATTAGAGGTGTGGGATTAGGGAAGAAAGATTTGTTAGCATCTGTTACATGAACAACTTGCCTAACTGCTGACACTACTTGTAAAAAAATATTGTCTATGTAATGCCTGCTTTGAGGTTCTTAAGAAATATATGTTGTGTCTAAGGGAAAAATTCCTTTTCTTTTTTTTTTTGCATTTCTTGCATGATCCTTAGAGCAGCTTCTGATCATAGATCTAAAACTTGGTAACAATCGTCAATGGATTCCTATGCAGTAATACTTGATATTGCAATTTTAGTGAATAGAAGCATGATACTAATATGTGTCATAGATATTTACAAAACTATGTGTGCTATTAACTTACTTGAGACTAGTGAAATAGTAATTAACCTTAAGGACTTTATTATTCTCTACTTCACAATCAAAACAGGCCTGACTGAGATCTAACCAGACTTGCCAGAATACTTTGATAATGAGGTCATGATATTCATCAGAGTTCAATGCCAGGTAACAAGCTAGGAGTTCTTCAAGCTCTTGAGGTTGGTTGATCTTTTTCTCCATGATCATCTCAATCATTGAATCTCTGAAGTCCTTCTGGGGATCGGACGAGCATTTTACCATAGCAAATCTTCCTAATCTGGCTCTTGTCTTAGTTGTTATCTCCTCTGTCACCTTCGTCTTCAATTTTGCTTTCTTCATATCTTCTAGAGCCTTTATTTTGCAGATTTCAATTTTGGAGGCTGTTCTTGGAGAAAAAATTCTGACTTTGCTGCTCTGCTTTGTTGTCCTTCTCTGAAATTCCTTGCTGATGTAAAGAGATTTCCTCTGTTGCTTACTCTTCAATTTTATCTCTTCAATTTTCTTGGCTTTTAATCTTTGCCACTCGGCACTCCACTTCTCTGATTTTTGAGTGTTATCTAGGTTCCGAGCAGCAAATCCACAATCTTCAGCAGTTGCAGTTTGGTTGTTCTTCTGTGTATTCATGGAAGAGAGAGAGCAACATCTCCTTGAACTGACTCCTTTTGTCTTCCATTTCTCACCGTCAATCGCTGTTGCTGATGCCTGTTCTGAGATATTATTATGTACTGAGTTTGTCCATTCCTCTTTCGCTATATCTGTGTTTTTATCCAGCTTCGGCCATTTTTTTTTCGCTCCTTGGCATTTTCTCTTCGATTTCTTTTCTATGGCAATGTCAGTTCTTGGTGTCTTACTTATGGTAGCTTTTTCTCTGTTACATAGATGAATTTCTGTCATGATCTCTTTATCTGCAGGGATTCCTCTCAATTTCCCTTCAGTAACCTTGCTGAACTTTCTTGTTGTATCTGTTTCTATAGACCTCCTAGCATTTGATCCACAATTCCGGCAACTTGGGGGTGGAACATCAAGCTCATCATCTGACTTGTACCAGACTGATCTCACTACTTTACTAGTATTCTCTTCAACACTGTCTACTCCAAAGGATAATCTCCAAAAGGCATCACCATTCTCACCATGGAATCTACCTCTTCCACTTCCAGCATAATTTGGTGACTTTGCAGGCACCAAATTCTGCTTCACGTTTTGGCTCTCATTTACAGGTTTCGATTCAGAGTCAAAGCTCATTTTCTTGAACTTGGAAAGCCATGAGAAGGTAACACGGGAAATGGAAGGAAGGCGAGATGAAGAAGGTTTTCTTCTTCCCGACTTCATCGTTCCAAACTCTTTCAAACTGTTCTTATTCCTTTGTTTTCTATGAGAATTGTTTGATTTGTCAAGGTTTTGAAGTTGTGGAGGAGGAGAAGGTTGAGATTGATGATGAGGAGGAAAACTGAATAGGATGATAATGGAGAGTTCTAGCAGTTAAGAGGGACAGTTAGAGAGTGTTATAGAAAAAGAGTGGTGGGTATATTGCCTGGTCTTTTTCTTTTGTTTTTCAAAAGAAAGGCTTGTTCTAAATCCTGTGACTGCGTACCAACTTTTTACACTTTATAGTTTGGTAATTAGTACTTCAGCCACAAAAGCTTATAAGCCTCAGTAGGGGGGACCCTGATGGTCCCCAAAGCTGATTGATTTATGAGCAGAACTCAATTTATGAAGGATATGGTCTCCAGCTCTGGGAGTTATACAGATTTTAAGGACTGCTTGCTTTTGCTGTAAAGTACTTCAGAGGATGGTTGGAATTGTTGAAAAAAAAAAGCGTTTAAAACAGTATGTATAGCAGCTTTTATTTAAAGATGGAGGCAGACTTGGGAGAGTTAAAAGAAGATTTTATTTTGGTTTAAATAATTAAAGAAGATTTGTTGGTTTTTACTTCTAGGGTTTGGTTGATTTGAGAGTTTTTCAGTTACAGTTTATTTGAAGTTCTTATGCTTTTTCTAATTTGAACAAGTCCTCTTGCCTTTTTTTGACCAAAATTAGATTGTGTTTTGTATGTTTTCTCTTGTCTATACTCAATACACGCAACTATGCACAACTATTCACGCATCTGTTTCTGTTTTTATCAATTTATACACACACCCATATATAATTACATGCATTATTTTATAATTTGCACACATAATAATACTAAGAATCTTTTAAGTACACCCAAATATTACTTATGGTGTGATCGGAAGAATCTTTTATGGTTTGATTTATAATCTTGTTAAAAATTCGGATATTATTAGAATAATTTATATAAATATGAATTATGTGCGAGATTACATGTTTGTATTATAATTTTTTTAAAATATTTTTCTCCTGTCCTTTCTTTCTTATGATTCATTGATTTTAGTAACTAATTATTTTAGTTAAACCATCATTTATGGTATTTTAATTTTATATTCTTTTCTTTCTCATAAAACTTTACTAAACTGAAACCCTGTCGTAAAGAAAGGCAAAAGTGGACGGAATATTAATTAATCGGAATATTAGCACAACATCTTGCGGAAGCCCAACATCTTGTTTCCTAATTTATTTAAAAGTTCAGAACTCATAACCCACAAGGCCCTTTGAGAAAAGCAACATAAAACTTTTTATAAATTTAGAATGGTAGTACATAAATTGAATTTAATATAAAATTTAATTTAATTTAATGTTAATTAATTCCAAATATAAGAATCCATTTCACAAAGTTAATTATTTGAAAACACATGATTTCCAACCCATCATTTATTGAACTTTTTATACCAAATATAAAATTGAAACTCAATATTGGTCTTTAGTCATGTGTATTAATAGTCGTACGTATGTATGTATTTTAAATTCAAAGATGTAGATATATTAAAATTAGATAAATAATTTTATATAAGACAGACATGAAATAGATTATACTTAGAAAAGTTGGCATTGACTGTTGAACATTACAACTGGCAGATTTGGAGGATCAAATATTAATTAATATAAAATACATATTAAGTCTAATAAAAAACATTCAAAGATTTCGTCTTTAGTGTATGCATTTATTATGAGAAGTCAGACATGCCCCCCTCAAAGTCGGGTGCCTGAAGTAAGTAACCCAGAAGGTTTCCACACGACTAACAATGAATTCAATATATAATATGAAGAATTCTTTAAATAAATAAATAAAAAAAAGACAAACCTTTAATATTATATTATCAAAATATATAGTTTTTACAGTATGAATTCATTTAGATCTAATAATATTTGTGCTAAACTCTCTCTCTCTCTCGTGATTTCATCATAACCACAATTATATTATATTTACAACCATTGAAAACAACCAAATCACATCCTTTTCTTCCTCTCTTCAGGCAAGATGCCGGCAGAGCTACAAGTCACCCACCACCATGTTCAAATTCTCAAACAAACCGCAACTTCTACAGAAAGAACGAAATGCAGGGTAAGCGAAAAACAGACCACCAACAATTTGAGAATAGAGACACGTTCACGAGCTTTATATATAACCTTCACAATTAAAAGCTTGTTGATGCAAAAACCTTACCACTAACACATTAATCAGACCCTTCTTCTCCATCTTTTCCCTGTAAAGAAGAAGAAACCCCAATTTCTGTGTCCTCTTTCCCGCTAATGAATACCAAGTGCTCCGACTAGTTAGCCACCCAAACATGGCCGCGGTCGTCATGATAAAAATGAAGATTCTTCTTCGTCGGGGAACACATCTGCAGTGACAAACTTTTTTGCTAAAGTCGCCAGGGTAAAACTCAAAAAGATCCAGCAAGAAAATATTTTCAGCTATTAAGCAGTATTATTATACATTTCTGCCATAGCCGAGGAAAACTTAATATAGATAAATAATTTATAAATAGGTATCGTAATATTAAGTTCATTATATTTACTATTTTTTATTAACTAAACGTAATAAAAATATAAAATCTAAAAATTTATATCTGTCACACATTTATACATGTGTATGTGTGAAACGTATGACCTTTTAACTGCAATTCAGTTATCTAATTTCATTGGCAGCTGGTACCAAACTCGGGTCCCATAAAAATCAACTTAAACAACTTTAATATAAACTTTTCTTGTTACACCAAGTCTGGTTTAAAGGGAGAAGCTGATGATTTCCTGCAAAAGGAAAAACCAAATGCAGCGTACAAAAGCCAAATGGAAGAGATTTGATAAAACAAAAAAACTCATATCTGAAATAAGAAAAATTCAACTGCTTTTATTATGATCGTCATAATAACTCCACCTCCATTTCAGATATAACCAACAACCTCCAATTATTTTCTCACTAAATGGCCTACTTGAGTTTCCACTTTCTTCAATGCCTCAACATGAAAAACTTATACCCCACCATTATCAAACCACTCGATTTAAAGTTTTGAATTGTGACTAAAGATGACAACAGAGCGGGTATAGAGCGAGTAAACTTACTATGCCACCATCTCGTCCTCTCCTGTTGAGGCGAGTAAATGGCTTCACAAGCATGTGCTCGTGTGAAGAACTTTGAACTGTAGCAGCTGAAAAGAAAAAAAAAAAAAAGAAAACTAAAGAGTTGAAGGGTAAAACCAGAAAGGTATTAATAATCTTAAAAGGGTAATAATAATAATGGTAGTAAGGCGATAAAATCACCATGTTCATCATCCCGTTTGAAAGGGAACCTTTTGAAGTAGCATCAGCACAATGAGTCAATTCCCATCCTCAAAAGGATCCTCAGAAAGAAATTCTTTGACCCTCTTTCATCCCTCGTATGCGGTCCGGAATTTACAGGGTCTAAAATCCACTTTGAGAATGTGCAATAAGCATATATAAAAGTTCCTAGATTCTTTTGCTGGAAAAAGAAAAGGATAGATACATCTCAATCAGCTTTTTACATGATCCACTAGCAACAGAATTACAAGTTTCAAACAAACCATCATAGATCAAGGACTGCATACTTCTACATTCCTGGATCATATTATTACATGTTTTGGAATCTAAAGGAATCATCAAGATCTCTTTGGAGATCAGAAACAGATGTCTAACAGACCAATATAGGACAGCAGTTTACATATGAAACATGCAAAATAACTTCAAGTTGATGTAAATGCTTCAACCACCAAATACTAAAATCAGATACAGAAGAATGCCCCTGTTTCCAAAGTTGTTGTTGTAAGATGCATTGATCGTGAAACAGAAAAACAGTGATGTTCAGATGCTTTTGAACACAGATATGAGAATGTATTCTACCGTATTGTTAGATGGTGATAAGACAATCCCAGCAAACTAAAGTACCATTTGAGTCATGTTAAGGACCACTTTAACTGCTTCTGACATTGCTTGCTTGAGTATCAATGATCTTTGGATGTTTGCATGGCTCAGGCATATTCTGTACAGAACTAAAATGCAAAACAGAAAACAACCCCTCAAAGTGTAGCTGCATGTATACATGTAATTTGACAGTTTCCTTCCCTAATGTTCTAAATGAAGCAACAGTACTTACCAAAAGATAATCTTAACCACTAAGCAACAAGCTATCATCTATCTATGAGAAAAATAAGATATAAGGCTTCTGTAATTTTCTTTTATAAACTTATATTTCAATGAAAGAATTTGTAAACATAACCCATCAAAAATGGGAACATATATAGACGGGGAGGACAACACCAAGGTGTTGCCACAATTACAAAACAGGTACTGAAATAGACATGGGCACCGAAACATCATTAGCAAAACTTGAATCCCTGTTTGTAGTTGAATTGCCTGCAAATGCATATCCAACACCCAATCCACCATAATGCAAAGAGGCATTCTCACATCTTTGAAACACTCTAGCAAGTGATGCTGCCTTTCTCCTCGCCCGCTTTGTACCAGTAAATAAAAGAGTCTGGAGCAGACCAGCCAATGCTGGTGCCCTAACCACTCTTTCGGTTGCTGCTGCCCCACCACTCCGGCATAACTCAAGCAAAGCTGCAACTGCATTCTCCTTCCCTCTCGGTGTCCCACAACGCATCATCCCTATTAAACCTGCCACAGCCATTTCCTCCTTGCCAACTGCCTCAGCCCCAATAGGTTGCCTAACAACCAAGGCTAATGCACCTGCTGCTTCTTCAGCAACCCCTTCATTCCCTAAAGCCCCTACAAGTGCGGTAACAGCTCCTGCCTCTATCATTCTTGCACAATTATCTGTGTGTGTTGACAGATTAAATAAAGCTGTGACAGCATCCTTCTTCCCCCTCGGAGTCCCCATTCTCAACATTGCTGCTAGGGCCTCAACTGCACCTCCCTCATCTGCTATTCTCTTCTTGTAATCATGAACCGCAGAGAGGCTAAACAATGTTGCGGCAGCATTTTCCCTTCCCTCAGTTGTAAGCCCAAATCTAAGAACTTCAACTATGGAACCTAAACACCCTTCCTCATCAATAATTCGACTCCTGTTCTTATCATAAATGGATAAATTAAGCATTGCAGTTACAGAATTTTCTTGAGCAACAGGATTTAGTGAAGAGAGTAGCTTTCTTAAATGAGGTATTGCCCCAGCTTCCGCAATGAAGGCACGGTTTTCCTTCCCTGTTTTGGCCAACAAACGAATCTCGCGTGCAGCCACAGTCTGTGCTGCTTGAGACCCATTTGCAAGCTGATGAATGAGAAGTTCTGCAGTAGCTCTATTGGCTTCAGTTGCAGCCTTGGTGGGCAAAGCTGCACCAAGAGAATCTGCGGATGCTTCTGTGCTTTCTACATCATAGGGTATCCCATGAGCTGTGCACCACTGCATGATCAAATTCCTCAAAGCCCGATTAGGAACAAGACGCGTATGGGCAAGCAATTGCCCGGTCTTTGGACAGGTACAGTGTCCTTCCTCCATCCATCTAGCTATGGAGCTTCGATCATAAGTCTGCCCAGTTGAGATGATCACAGGATCCCTCATCAAGTCAAGCGATATTGGGCAACAGAAGTCCTTGGGGATCCTTATAAAGGTATCCGCAATCTCCTGAGTAATCAGCCCTTTTCTGGGTTTCTTCAGATTCTCAATCTTCCATCCAAACTCGTCTTCTTCAAACCCAAATAGCAAGAACCTGCAATATCTTGTAATTGCAACAAACCCATTAAGGACAGAAGCAGTTGGCTCGATATCTCCTTCATGATTCACAATCTGCTCCTCAAGGAACTCGATTTCATCCCGGCAACTCTTAGCATTCTCAATCCCCAATCCCTCCACAAAGAAGAGCCTTAATTCCACAGGATTGGGAATCCTTCCGTTCTCAAATTCATTGAGAAACCAAAAGAATCGGACTCTCAAGGCCTCATCTTTCTTATCAATATATAATCTGGCTTTCCTGGCTTGATTTTTCAGGAGCAGGACTTGCTCCCTTACGTCCTCGCTCAATTGAACGTCGTCGACAGGGAAAACATCCAAAAGGGTCGATATTTCCTGATTCAAATCGTGAAAATGGCCGGAAATTGAGTGGTTTTGGAGCAGAAGCCATAATTTACTCGATTGGGCGCAGTAATCAAGAAGAATCTTGGAGCGATAAAGCAACAAATACAGCTCCTTGAAGCAGAGAACCACTGTTGAAGGAAGACGAGAATCAGAACCTGAGTCTTTCAAGCACTCTAACGAGACGATGAAAACCTGAATCTTTCGAATCAAAGAGCGAGAGTTGTTGCGCTGAAAGAAGATTGAATGAGCAGAGAAGCAAGAAACCAGGTCGGTAGCGATGGAGGCTAGGGTTTGTACCAAAGCCACACCTGTTAGGTCAACGGGAGCCAAGAATGCCTCAAGCGACGGCGATCTCCGCCTCCTTAGAGAGGAGAAAATCGCTGCAGTCGCCATGGAAATCTGAAACAACCCAATCCAAAACAAATAGAACCACTTCTCCTTTTGTGCTTATCTCAACTCCTTAGATTATCCAACGAAGAATATTTCTTGTTTCAACAACCCAGAAGATAAAAAATCAAGATAGGTGGAAAAACTGTTGTGGGTTTTTGAATCGTCCACCAAAGATTTACACCAAAAGGAAAAAAAAACAGAATGAATCCGCGTTTTTTTTTTTTTGCGGGGGGGGGGGGGGAGGAGAAAAGAAAGGATTGAACTTCTCCAGACTTTTCCACTTTTTTAATTAATTGATTAATTGTCTCTCCCTCCTAGTTTCGCTGGGTTTGGTTTGGTTTGGTTGGTAGTTTTCTCTCTCCAAGAAATTCAATGGAGTTTTGGTGAAAATGACATGTATGGCTTTGACGGACAATTATCCAGAATCATACCGTCCGCTGTTTAGGCTTTCTATACAGCTAAACACCCTGTTTTCTGTTCAACCATATTACAGAAAAGCTCTTCATCTTTTTCTTTTCTCCTTTTTTAATTTACTATATTTTCTCTTTCTCTTTCTTTATTTTTCAGTCACCCAAATCTTAATTATTATTAATGAGAAAAATACATTTTTTGCATTGATGAATTTACAAAATTCATTCATTCTTTTTTTTTGTTTTATGATTTCATTAGACATGGTTTCTTATGAATATTACCCAACAAGTTGTTGGGTGGGTATATTTTAGTTCATCTTGAGCACCACTGAGTTCAATTTTTCCAACATATGTTTTAGTCAAATATATTTCATCATTTTTAGCACAATTTCTTTTGATTATATATATATATATATATTACAGGCATAGTAATTATCTGAAAACTTTATAGATTAATATTTTAATAGAATTATTGTTAAAATAATAATTTGGTAATTTCTAGAAAATAAAGTAAAAAGTAAAAAAAACAAAAACAAAAAAGAAAAGTAAATTCTTACGTCAACAGTTGACCATAATACATAAAAGGTGGTGGTGGGGTTGGGGCCCAGGCGACTTTACGGGCGCGTGGGAGATGATTAGGACGGTGATTAGTCAAAACGGGTGAATAAAAGAAAAAGAAAGTAATTATTTTATTGTGTTAAAAATACTACGTTTTATTTTTTAAAAAAAAATCTTCACACGTTTAATCCTAACAAGAGTGCGTAATTATTTATAAATTAAAAATATATTTATAATGAGAAATTATATAAGTAAATTATTTATATTGACGTCATAGTACTAAACTATTTACCAAGGTGTGTCAAAAGAACGACATCGTTTTGGCTTTCTTCAATCGGGCTGTATGATAGTAGTGGGTGGTGCAGTGCTGTTCTTCTCAAGAAAGGAACAGGTATGAATTAGGAGACAAATTCGGAGAGTTAATCAATCAAAGTAGTTTCGCAACATTCATGTTTATTGTGTAAGACTTTCCTCCCAAAGCTACAGATTACTTAATACTTATTCTTTAAATTCTATTGCAGTTTGCAGTGAAGTGAACAGTATCATTATTTGTCTTGGTTTAACCAGTACAATTTCTCAAACATATAAAAAAAACTTATTGTAGAAATGAAGTTTACAATTGAAATATAATTATATTGTAAACATAGTTCTAAATTTGCTTTCTTTTGGAAGCTAAATAAACTTCAAGTTGAATTGGAGCTAAATTTTATACCTTCTTGTTTGTCATATTTTTTTCTTTCTTTCTTTTTTATAGTTTTTATCATTGGGAAGAAATTATTTATGATCAACTTAAATTCTTATTTCCAGTTTTCTAATTTATTTATTTTTTTAAAAAAAAAAATTTCTATTAAAACATTTAATAATTAAAGAAAACAAAACCTGAATGCTTTTTTCAGTTTTTTTAAAACATCATTAATCAATAAATTCATATGATTGGGGGGGTGGGGGTAAAAACCAAGCTTCTATTTTCCCTCTTTTTGGAAGTATTCAAAAGTAAATTCCCTAAACAAAAAGCTAAAAGAAAAAAAGTGATGAAGGCTGGTATTGCCCCTTCAACTAAAACCACCTGAAGCATTGCAGCCTCCCATCTCCTTCGGCCAACCCCTCCTCCAAATCCAAACTCAGCATCTTGACTTGTATTGGAATATGAAGTCAGTAACAATCTCCAATGTTAAATGTTGCTCAAGATATATCAAATTGAAAGAAAAACCAAAAAACCAAAACCTTTATTAAAACTCATGCATAACTTAATCTTTTGTTTGGATGAATTTTGTAGTGGGTAATTAATATACGTCAGTGCATAGTAATAACAAAGTTATACCATATTTAAAAAGATTTTGTGTTAATGTATAATAATGACAACCGTTTTATTTATATTTATAGGATGATATAGTTGTATATTCATTCACATTAACAATTTATCCTTATATTATTATATATAATATTAAATGAAAAAAAAAAAGAAGAAAAAAGGAGTCATGCAGTTTCAAATTAAAAACATGGTGTTATTTTGATGTTGCTGACATCAGTTAGTATAGGAGAATGGTCTGACACGGACAAACAGAGATTCTTAAGTCGAGCAAGAGGATATTTATCAGTCCATGCATCATTCACCA